AAGACGAAAGCGCTCTGCTAAGATATGCTTCTTCCTTCTTCCAATACGTATCCACTAATGGATATTTGCGATAACATTTTCCATTTCTTCTCTATTCCTTGCGGTGTGTATTAACGACTGCACATCATGTAGCCCTGTCCACTGTCTGATATTTCGCAGCGAAGACATTTTCTTTCTTCCGATCCCTCTCCGGCCTTCGATCTTGCCTTCGATCAACAGGTACAAGAATTGGTATTTCGTGTTTCGCATTATATGTCCCAGATATGCCGTTTTTCTCTTTTTAACTAATTCAAACAGTTCACGTTGTTTGTTGATTCATCTTAGGACTTCTCCGTTTGTTAGTCTAGCCGTCCAAGGCATCTTAAGGATCCTGCGATACAGCCACATTTCGAAAGCCTCTAATTTATTAATTGCAGCCGCCCTTAATGTCTAACCTTCCATACCGTAAAGAAGCACTGACCAGACGTAGCATTTAATGAATCTGATAGTCCTAGCGGTACATGAAAAAAAACGGCAAATTGTGTTAAAAGCATGAATTTTGGTACACTTGGTCTTTAAACCATAACAATTAATGTGGCCCGTAGTACTACCCCACAAGTGTCATTTGTTTATATTTGTTTAAACAATTCACTCGATCTGTTAAAAGAGCACAAAATAGGCTCACCAGATGCCAATGCCAAATAAAATTGACATTGGAAGTTGATAAAAAGGACGAAAAGTCATGCCGACCCATCCAAAGGCCCATCCTGACCCAATTCGGCATTTTGATTTTTTGTTTATACATATTGTTTACTTTTGTTTATGCAAACTGATTGATTTTTCGGGTATTGCACATGGGGAATCGATTTCGACTAATTAGGGGTCAAAAATCCCGATTAATAACATTAGAACTCGTTTGCAAGGCTTTTTTAATTGCTCTTCTGTATATTATAGAAGAAAATACTGAACAAAATTTGGCGCTCAAGTGACAGTGGATGAATAACTGAGGATTAATGAATTAATAAAACCATCAAATAAATATTATTTATATTATGAAATCATCTTATCAAACTTATAAGTACGCTAAAACCGTACCGATTTTGAAAAAAAAGGACACAATGTTGAGAAAGAAAGTATTATATAACCTCACCTGTCAAAAGTTGAATGTGGAACCCTGTCGAAAATCATTAGAAAAAAAAATAAAAACTCAATTTGAAGAATTTGTTTTTATATTTTCATTCCATAAGGGTCCTAAGTGTCCTAAAACCGTATCGATTTCAAAAAAAAAATGGACACGATGTTGGTAAAGAAAGTATTAATCACCTATCAAAAAATTAATGTGGAATGCTATCTAAAATCTTCAGAAAAAAAATTAAAGCTCAATTTGAAGCAAATTTCTTCATATTTTCAACCCATAAGGGCCATAAGTGCCCTAAAACCGTGCCGATTTTGAAAAAAATTGATACAATGTTGATAAAGAAAGTATTAATCACCTATCAAAAGATGAATGTGGAACTCTATCGAAAATCTTCAGAAAAAAAAATAAAAGCTCAACTGGAAGCAAATTTTTTCATATTTTCAACCCATAAGGGCCATATAAGTGCCCGAAAACCATACCGATTTAAAAAAAAATTGGACACAATGTTAATAAAGAAAGTATTAATCACCTGTCAAAAGATGAATGTGGAAGCCTATCAAAAATCATCATAAAAAAAAATAAAAACTCAATTTGAAGTGAATGTTTTCATATTTTCATTCCATAAGGGCCATAACTGCCCTAAAACCGTACCAATTTTGAAAATAAGTGGACACACTGTTAATGGAGAAGGTTATAATCAACTTTATCTAAAATCATCACAAAAAAAAACTAACAGCTGTATGCAACATTCTCTTTCAACTCGAAAGCGCTTTTTAAAACTGGTACCTTTAAAAACTTGTAAGGTTTAGAATACACATTTTTAAAAGTGACTAGTTTTAAAAAGCGCTTTTAAGTTAAAAGAGGACGTTGCATACAGCTGTAAAAATTCAATTTGAAGCAAATTTTTTCATATTTTCAACTCATAAGGGCCATAAGTGCCCTAAAACCGTACCATTTCGAAAAAAAATGGACAACATGTTAATAAAGAAAGTACGAATCACCTGTCAAAAGATGAATGTGGAACCCTATCGAAAATCATCAGAAAAAACTCAATTTGAAGGAAATTTTTTCATATTTTTATTCCATGAGGGCCATAAGTGCCCTAAGTAAAACCGTACCGATTTCGAAAAAAAATGGACACAATGTTGATAAAGAAAGTATTAGTCAATTGTGGAAAGATGACTGTGGAACCCTATCGAAAATCATCAGTAGAAAAATAAAAACTCATTTGAAGCAAATTTTTTCATATTTTCAATCCATAAGGGCCATAAGTGCCCTAAAACCTTACCGATTTTGGAAAAAAATGGACACAATGTTGATAAAGAAAGTATTAATCACCTGTCAACAGATGAATGTGGAACCCTATCGAAAAACGTTCTCGCTCTTCTTTGCTCTGGCACTGAAATTGTCGTTATTACTTCACATAAGAGCGGCGCATAGCATAATAAAAAAATAATAAATTAAATTATTTGTATCATGAAAGTATTTAAAAAGCGCGGAAACGATTTCTAATGTTATTATTCCAGCTTCTTGACCCCTAATTACTCGAAATCGATTCCTCACATGCAATATCCGAAAAATCAATAATTTTGCATAAACTAGAGTAAACAATGTGTATAAACAAAAAATCAAAATGGCGGCTTGGGTCAGGATTGGCTTTCGGATGGGTAAACATGACTTTCCGTCCTTTTTATCAACTTCCAATGTGAATTTTATTTGGCATTGGCATCTGGTGAGCTTATTTTGTGCTTTTTTAACAGATCGAGTGAATTGTCTAAACAAATATAAACAAGTGACAGTTGTGGGGTAGTGCTACGGGCCAAATCAATTGTTATGGTTTAAAGACCAAGTGTACCAAAATACATGCTTTTAACACAATTTGCCGTTTTTCACTAAATATCTATGTGTACCGCTAGTCCTATGAGTCTTAGGTTAAGGTCAAAATTAGAACAGGTAAGCACTCTTCGGAACCTCAAGAATGCCTGTCGAGCTTTTTCAATGCGACATTTTATTTCCTTGTCTAATGTCCAGTGTTCGAAAAGCCAGACGCACTACTCTCTCTATGGGCCTTGCGTTAAATGTTATGGTGGAGTTTTCAAACATATTTGGGTTTCTAGAGATAATCATAAACTTTGTTTTTTGGTGTTGATATTTAAACCCATTGATTTGCTCTGTTCTCCTACCTTATTGACTAGTTGTTGTAGGTCGTGTATGTTATCAGCAATTAAGACCGTATCGTCAGCATAGCGGATATTGTTAATCCACACTCCATTAACTTTGACTTCCATTTCCACATCTTCCAAAAACTGATGGAAAATCGCTTCTGAATAAAAGTTGAACAGGAGCGGAGACAGCACACATCCCTGTCGCACCCCTCTTCTAATTTGTATGGTGTTGGACACAGTAATGCCTTATTTGATTTGCGCGGTTTGGTTCCAGTATAGGTTTTCAATGCATCTAAAGTCTTTCTGGTCTATATCAAGCTTATCGAGGAGCTGCATTAATTTGTGATGTACGCGATCGAATGTCTTTTCGTAATTTATGAAACATAGGTACACATAGGCTAAGATATTATATTAAATATATTTGCTCGAAGTACACCAAAACTCTTCCAGAGGGTGAGATAAAACATCTAGGTATAGATAAAATTGCGTCGGAATATTGTGGAATACCCTTCAAGGTCCAGTTCTAAGATTTTCTTTTCTACCATATTTTAGAATCCATATATTGTTATGAATCTTCCTGTTTAGATTGATTGCAAGAAATTGTGGAAACCTTTTATAATGTAACCTTTTCGCTGTTCATTTATACCCGACAAGTGTTGACCTCAGTCCTACATTATCATTCGTAGCAATCATAAGTTTCGAACTTATAAATTTGATTTTTCTTTAAAAGATACACACTATGTATCTACCTGCAAAATTTGTCAGTTTACCTAAGGACACCCTGAATAAACAGTGTGGGTTTTTCAAAGTGTATAAGTAAACGATATCTCGAAAACGGTTTCAAATATTTTCATGATATTTTGACGCCGTAGTAGTACGATAATTTTGAAATTTTTTTGCTCCACCCCCTCTTGAGGGGTGGGGTAACATTTTAAGTAGAATGCTATGTTTTATTATTCCACAATACGAATCTACGTAATAAAATAGGCCTGCTGGTTATGGAATATTGGAATTATGACATATTTCATTAGAATACTTACATACAACCTCATTTCTAATTATTTATCGTCTATTATGCCTAAGAATTTGTTCAAAATGCTCCCTTTGACTTCCTTTCTCACTCTTTCTTGAAATTAATTTTGTACCCGCTCTAACATTGCATATGTCACTAATAGGCAAGCAGAACAGATTTGATCTCTCATATTATCTGGAGATGTAGTTGCGATAGCCAATTACTTCGTCTTTTATAAAGCCCCACAAAAAAATTGGACGAGTCAAATCTGGAGAACGAGCAGACCAGTTGACCGGACCACTTCGACCAATCTTCCTATTTTCAAATATTTGATCTAAATAATTACAGGCCGGTATCGCATAATGGGGTGGAGCATATGGTTTCAGCAGGATGGTGCTCCACTTATCCATTGAATGGCGAATGCCCTTTGATTTACAAAATGCCAAAGTTTTAACAACAGAAAGCAATTTTTCAAACAGATGTTTTTTAGAGATGGGTTATATAATTGAGTAATTCTCCCACTCAATGGATAAAAGAACAAATAGGTATTCACTCTACTTAAATCAAATATTACTACATTTTTAACATATTTCCTGAAGGAATGGGATAAATTTGTCCCAGTGGATATTTATGAATATAACAGTAATTCTTTGGTTTGTTCTACTTCTGATAGTAAAGACTTTTACTCTTAGAATAAACCGCTTACCCTCAAAAATATTTCGTCTTGGCTATTTTTAGCATATCCAATATCATAATCACTTCTCAACAAATCATCGACAGATCTTATTTGAGTCAATTTGACAGATAGCATGGAAGTAATAAAAGCTGAATAAGAACTATATATTATATAAGCAAATATCAATGATATCACTATGATAATATTTCCAGAGCACGATCTTGGATGGATTAGAGAACCTGCAAAATAAATGATGTACCTAATTTGAAAACCTGATTGTGAATGATTATCATACCTTGTACGCTAAAAACTCCAATAATCCACAACAAAGCGTCGGAAATAGCAAAGTAATACGAGGAAAACAGTGGACGCTCTTTTGCCAATACTTTACTTGATAAAATATAGAGACACATGGTTATTGCAAATATTAAACCTGTACCCAGTACCGAGAGTACCAATTTCGGTTCGAACGGGGCATAAAATATGTCTCTTGCGCTATGAGACCGTTCTGGTTTGACGTAAATGTTTCTTCTAGAAATTAAATAGAAAATTTCATAATTTATTCTCAAATATCTACATTTTGTATACTTACACAGAAATCATTATATCATGAGTGAAAGCCATATCTGTATATCTGTCAGATACTTTAATTACACTATCCACACCAACGTCAACTTCATGGGATACCACTGCTCCAAGAAGGCCAGTCCAGTTACCAATAGGTGTTTTTAATCCCAATGTAGGATATATTTTGGTCTTTAGGCTTAAAATAGAGAAATAATATAGATTAGAATATTGTCATTAAGATATCTTACTCCGCATTGAGAAAAAATGCAAGAAACTGTGCAATTTTATTCATATTTTCTTCGTCATTGTTGTCTGCAATTAAATTTTCATCCGACACTATAGTGGCATCTTGGTCAGGTTGTTTTTTTCCGAATATTAATGGAAAACCATGAAAATCAGTTCTTGATTCCACTGATTGGTACGATTTTAGTTTTTCGGTTCCAGTTTCGTAATTCCAAAATCCTGTGAAATCACAACAATTATTTTTTTTCCATTTCCAATTACCCCAATAGGTAGTTGAAATGAGTCGAAGGTGACATATAGACCCTGAGATAGAGCCTGTTTAGTGGAGTCATTTTTTTTCATGGCATTTTGAGGGCTGAATATGGCTAGTTAGCTGATGAGAATATAAGTGGTTTCAATGCCTACTCCCTGTTCGAAATGTCCACAGAATGTTTGGCGGATTTGCTCTATCTCGAACTGTGATTACCGTCTGGCTATTTTTCAGCGTTAGTTTCACAAGAAAACCTTTTATTATCTCAATTGCCAGACAAAAACTAAACGCGGAAGGTTCTTTTCTTTTCTCTTGGAAGTTGACACTCATCCCCACTTTTTCAGTTATTGAAAAGCATCTGGTATTTTTTATTGGTGAATTATTTATCAATGTCAATCTTTTATTTAAAAGCCAGAAACTTCTAGATCATTAAAAAAAAAAATCTTCATATAAATCAGTTTTTTTCTTGTCCAAATTTTCGAACGGGTGGCAGGCATTAAAATCGTTCGAGATTACCAAAACCATTTCGCGCCCGAGTTGCAAACAATATTTTTTCTACAACTCTTTTCAAATATCGATCATTCGAAGCCAAAATTGCATTTCCAATCAAAGGCAGGTGAATTTTAATTATTTTTTGGCATCCTGACAGGTATGTGTCACCATGACACCAGTGTGCGAACTAGCTATTTCGCACACTAGGGAGCGAAATAGCTAGTTCGCACACTGGTGTCATGGGAACGTTAAAAAATCAATACCTGGGAAAAAAGTATCACTTCGCAAACTGTCATGAGTCTGCGAACATCATCATTTTTTGACAGTTGTAGAAAAAATATATTGTTTATGAATTGAATTCAAATTGGGATTCATGCCAAAGTTCTATTGATTTTTGCGTGAAAATCCGCTAAAAATATTGTTTAGATTTGGAAGATTATTTCTAGCTGCAAATTCAATTATCATAATTTTTGGAATCAATGCTCCATTCTGGGTCATTTCGCGATCTGGGATTCGTGCCGTTCTATATGAATGTTTCATCTTTCTAGCATATCACTTAGTAGTTACTTTTTATCTATAATCATGAGGATTTAATAGGTAAATTCGAAAATTATATTTCATTTAACGACAATAATAGAGAAATTAAACATGTCCTTTTGCGTATATGTAAACGTAAGTTTTGAACGTACGCATGCGCAAAAACATCAAATTCGCGTTCATGTACGCATGTGTCCCGTGAACTAACGTATCTTTGTGTACGGACTAAACCTGAACCGTATCGGGCTGAATCTGGCCGAACTCGACAATCGGCAGCCAGTTTTGTTAAAAATACCTACGTATAAATGTAACTGACAACCTGTGCAATGGTAAATCTAGGTAAATAGATTACAAGTAACCTTTGCTTGTGAAAAAAATAATTGTCATAGAGAGTTGTCAACACGTTTTCAATAAGTCTGTCAATTAATTGTAATTATATTTCAGTTTTCCATAAAAATCATTATAAAAAACTCCTATTATTTTAATAAAAGCCATCCACTGCATTGAAGAAAATAATAGGTTACGGGCTCAGAGCCACGCAGCAGAAGATAAAGACAGAATAAAAAAACTGGTAAAATAATAAAACCGAAAAATGAGTGAAAGCACTACATTAAAACTCACGGGCACCGAAAATTGACCAGTATGGAAATTCCAGACAACCATAATATTGAAAGGCAAGGAGCTGTGGTCAGTAGTAGATGGTTCTAGTGAAAAACCACTTACAGCTGGAGAGGAACTCAAAAAATGGCTGAAAGTAGATGCGAAAGCACAAGAATCGTAACAAGGATGAAACAAGGTCCCTTAATGCATTTATTATCCTGCGAAACATCTAAAGACATGTGGAGTAAGTTAAAAACTGTTATTGACAAAGAATCTGTAGTAAGTGTCCACCTATTACAACAGCGATTTTTTCAGCTAGAATTCAATAACTGTGAATCAGTGGCCACATTTATTTCAAAAATAGAGGAAATAAAGACTAAACTTAAGACAGCAGGGGCATCCTTGTCAGATCAAATGATTATGAAAAAAAATGTATGTCATACTAATAAATTATTGTGTTTTTATACCTTAGATACCATCTACATAATTGATTACCAAAATATAAATTTACGCTTATAAACATATTATTTTTGTCAAAAAATGATGATGTTTGCACACTGATGACAATTTGCGAAGTGACACTTTTTTCCCAGGTATTTATTTTACACAACCAACTGGTATGACATAAAAGTTTGTATGCACCACGGGTACTAATAGATATATATACCCTCGGGCGACTTACGAACCCTCGGGCCAGAGGCCCTCGGCTTTGTAAGACTGTCGCCCTCAGGGCATAATCATCTACTTAGTACCCTTGATACATAAATAACTATTAATGTCTCTACCACTACCAGAGCAGTATAAGCATTTCAGGTCTGCCTGGGAATCTGTTTCAACGGATAGCCAAACGTTGGAGGAATTGACCTCAAGACTACTCCTGGAAGAAGAACGTAGCAAGTCCTCAGAAAAGGACATGGCACTAAATATTAGAATCCTGGTGATCGGTCGATTTTTTTAAAACTGCAGTATGTTATTCTATTCCTGAAAACAAGCATTTTTGCTTATGGTCACTTCTTTGTACGAGTATGGGATGTCCCAGAAAATTGAGTTCAAAGTTTTTATATGAAATATTTCCTTTGAAGCATAAACTTATGTTTAACTGATCTGTTATGTGATCTTGCAACTTATACATTTAAGACAAAGCTATTTATGTAGTTAAGGACAAAAATTATCATACAGGGTGTCTCAAAAATTATATTTTTAACCAAACTACTCTCTAAAGAAAGCCAATAACCAAATCAACTGCTACAAAACTATAATTACCTAAAATATCAATAATAACTATAAACATTCTAACAATGCTCGCCAGAGATTATTTGAAGTAGCTGCTATTCCTCGGAAACGATTTGGATTTAATACTGTAGAAATAGATCAACAAATACAAAAATATGCCATATAGGCCCAGTTTCACAATTGGTGGTAACCTTGTGGTAACCTGCACTGGTTATCGGATATCGGACTCATATTTGCGGGATGACTACATGGAATATTCTGAAGCTTGACCAAAGATTTTGGCTAAACCACACATTATAAAACAGAAATTTTGTAGGTGTAGGTTACCAGTGTCTTGTGTTTACCGTTGGGTTATCACTGTTTGTGAAACTGGCCCCAACTGTGTTGTTAATACAACAGACCAATACATATTTAAAATCACTAAACCGATACATCAAACATTTGATATAAATACTTAAAACTCAATTTTTTTAACCGTTATTTTGGTTATTGGCTTTTTTTAGAGTGTAGTTTGGTTTAAAATAAAATTGTTGAGACACCCTGTATAATAATTTTTGCTCTTAACTACATAAATATCTTTGTCTTTAATGCATAAGTTGCAAAAATGCATAACAGATCAGATAACATAGTTTATGCTTCAAACAAAATATTCCATATAAAAACTTTGGACTTAATTTTCTTGAACATCCCATACTCGTACAAAGAAGTGACCATAAGCAAAAATGCTTGTTTTCAGGTATAGAATAACATGCTGCAGTTTTAAAAAAATCGACCGATCACCAGGATTCTAATATTTAGTGCCATGTCCTTTAACTGCATTAGCTATACCAAAGGTCCTAATAAATCTAAGATACGTTGCTATGTTTGTTCTAAAATGGGCCATCTCGCAAAATATTGCTATTTCCTAAACAAAAATAAAAATAATTATTCTGAGAGAGAGGGTAACAGTAGGTAATCAATTTCATAAAAAGGAAAAATTTTGCATACATTGCAAGAGAAGGGGCCACGAAATACAGAATTGTTAGTTCAGAAAAGGGAACAATAAAATAAGACATCAGAATAAAGAACAGGTCAAAGATGGAGATACAAACGGCTTTATGGTATTTACAAATGAAGCCAAAGCAAATGATTGGTATCTTGA